CTGTAATGTGCTGATACCAGGGCCGGATTTTCCTATAGGCTAACTAGGCTTCAGCCTAGGGCCTCAAGATCAAGAGGGGCCTACATTCAAATTGTTAGCAAAATTAAAATTACACTTTCACTATAGGTGAAAGGGCCTCATAAGTGGAATAGCCTAGGGCCTCTTTTCATCTAAATCCGGCCCTGGCTGATACGCACAGGGGCAACTCAAAGTTCTCAATCTCACTCTGTGATGGGACAATATTCCTTTGAGAAGACCTTGCTTGTCAATCTAAACCTCAACAAAGACATTCTCCAGGAATGTGCTAGAGCTGGAATAATCTTAAATATTTTCATTCATGCCAGTCACATGAGAATTGGTGTGTGTGCATGTGGGGGGGGGGTAGCGAATAAGGAGAAGAAAGGGGGGCAACATAGGGGGTTTAATAGGCTTCAGTGACAGCACAGTGTCCACATTGGGAGAAGATTAATGACAAAAATTAATCGCATGACCTTTCTTTCGAGGAGCTGGAGGTGAGGCGAGCCATTAAAGCCTCTTATGTTGTAATTAACGTTTGAGGGGAGAAAAGACTGGCTTCAGAATGGATGTGATCATTTAATTAGGGTTATGCGTCAGTGCCACAACAGGTTCAGAGAAGTCATAATTTAACTATAGCTTTAAATTACACAGTCAGAATGCGGATGGCAGGGTTTAATGGCAGGAGAGCCCTACCACAGCAAAGTAAGAAAAACAGTTAAATAAACACGAGAGAGAGAGAGAGAGAGAGAGAGAGAGAGAGAGAGAGAGAGAGAGTGGTGAATGCAAGACCTAGCGGTGAAGAAGATAATCTGGGCATGGAGATCTGGAAAGTGTCATTCTCTGTCTTTTAGGGGGTTCCTAACAATAAATTTGGAGCAAGGAAGCCAAATCTTAGAATCTGTCTGGTGCTATACCTCTGTATAAACTTTCCATGAAATATTATCTCAGGTGTAGATTGACAGCAGTTTCACTGGAATTTAATCTACCTCCCACTAACATAGGAAGGTTATATCAGTGGAAGGCAGTGCAATTATATTGTGATGCCCATGTAGAAAAAGGAGTTGAGGCATATTGAGCCAGAGCCTCCTTCCATATTATCAGCCATCTAACAATTCCAGTTTAGTCAGGATATAGACAAATGTGGTTAGTCAAGAGGCCTACCCCATTGTCATTCCGCTGTACTGTAATGTCCTTCTGCAGGATGCTTGCTGTTTGTTTATATCATCTCATGTGGAATGACTAAGAAAATAAGAAATAAGAAAACTGTCATTTTACTATACTGTGAGGGAGACATTTGGCTCTCCCTAGGCAAATCCTACAGATGGTTGTGGGGTTTAAGGGTTTTTTCCAACATTCATCTAAAACTGTTCTGTCCATTCTAGTGCCTTATTTTTTGTTGTATAGATTGAGCCCCAGATTCAGTTCATAATGCTAACAAATGATCGATAAAATGAACAACAGAGTTGTATAAGAGTTGGTCAACATATGTCAAAATGGTGACAATGTCATCTCACCCAAGATAGCTTCAGTGGGCTCACGGCCTTTCTGCACAGAGGCTTTGCATCATTCCCAAAAATGTTCTATACCTTTGCAGTTCCATGAGGCCATTGGTATTTAGTAAGTAAGTTGATTTATTTCTGGCCCAGGCAGATAGAAAAACCCTGATACTTCTGTTTGCAGTGCTATTGGTCTAATGAGCTTGAAGATGGTCTCGTTTTCTCTTCTTAGGTGTGAACTCTTGCTTCAGTTCTAGACCCTGAACAACTATTATTTTTCTCCACCACTACTCCCTTAGATTTTGTTTTTCTAAACAGTGTGTTTCTCTTCCTTTTGTCTACAGTCCAGCCATAGTAGCAATATGCAGGGAAACTGCAGGGTTGAAAAAAAAGCAAGCATGACATGATTTTATGATCAGAGTTTGTAATAGCGTTTTAGTGCAACAGAGGAATGGCATTTCTATAGCCAGGAAGTTATCCTCATATTGATTGTACAGGTGTTTTTGGGGGAAAGTGGGGAAACAACAATAAATGTGTGTGTGTGTTAAAATAGCTATTTTATTTCTGGTTTGTGTGGAATAGATGTTAGAGTCAATCTGAAATTGCTGAGGAGTCATGTGCTTCAGTACATCTTTTTTTAGTCATTTATTGGAAAAGTGATTAACTCATAATATTCCATATATTCTTAATGTTTCAGGATCAGTAACAATGAGGATAATTGAAGCTTCTTTTTAAAGGATTGGCAAAATAGAAATAAAATGTTTGTAGACGTGTCCTTAGGATGCACCCTTGGGTGATGCATGGCACTTTTTATTTCCATCCATCTTCACAGGTTATAACTGGGATAATAATTTTGTCCTCTTTTACAAAACTGCCCAAAAGATCACTAAGATGAGTGAATAAATGCTGCATTATTGTTTAGTATTCTTCTAATTATACTCAGTCTTGGGCTTAATTCCAGATTTTCCAAATGATTTGGACTACATTCAGCCTGCTGATTTAAATCATGAAGCAGGGAGCTCTGCATTTCCTAATCAAGCGCTATGCAATAAATCTGTTTGAGTGTGTATGTGAGAGAGAAAGAGACAACTAAACAGAAACAGATAGACATACACACCAATACAGAACAAATATAAATTAAATATACATTTAGAAATAAACATAATCTAATTACTAATATACTACATGTCACTTCAGAGGGAAAAGACTGTGACAGCCAGCCAATCTCTGAATTTCATCTGATTGCTATGCAAGCAGGATGCGTTGATGGGTCTTTTTCTTACTGTTATTCCTTTATAGTTTTGTATCTTGAAAGTGAGCCTACTCTGTTCTCTGAAAAAGATGTCCTACTATCCACCATAGAAAGAAACATGAGTTTCTTCTCCATTCAGACAAAATCTGTTGAGATAGGTGTGTGGGCTATTGGCTCCTATTTATTTATATTTATATATCTATTTATATTTAGAAATTCCGAGTGGTGCCTGTGGTTTCTTAAGTACAAACTATATAAGCCTTTCCCAAGCTTCTTGATTCTTGATTCCTTGTCTTTACATATTGTCCATTCTTATCCCAAATACACCTGCAATGATATCCATAATGTATTTTCCTATCTCTTGTGATATCTTCCAATAAAAAAAACAGTTCCTGAAGCTCTCGTTATTTTCTGCTGATGATTGGCTAATAAATCCAATCTCTCTCTCTCTCTGTATATAATAATAATAGTAGTAGTAGTAATAATAATAATAATAATAATAATAATAATAATAATAATAATAATAATAATAATGGTCTCTTTTCCTCATGAATCCTTAATACTTAATAGACTTTCAAATGCTGCAATGCAAGAGGAGATTTTTATACCCATGACAAGAGATAATATTATTAAGATGTGCTATTATTTGAATTCTAGCATTTCACAAATTTTGGCGGGATGGTGAGCTATAGATGGGAGGAGAGAGAAAACAATAAAATCCTTTGCCTTTGAATTACATCTTCCGGTCTGGTGATTTGTGTTGGATCCCAGAGCACTCTGGCTAAGTTGGGCCTAGCCTATCAAAATGGCATTATAGGTCAACATTGCTGAACGATTTCCTAAAACAGATGTACCGGGGCCTGGTGGGAGGTTCAGCCCCAGGCGAGTTTGAAGCATGACAGGTTCAGATGAGAAAGTTGAGTAAATAGCCCAGTGACTAATGATCAACAATTTAAAGCTTATGATGGAGTGGGGACCAGATGGAGGGGGAGGGTAGAGATCTTCCCCCAGTGGGGCAATAGAAGGAATTAGCAGAGAAATGGATGGCTTCTTTAGGTATTCTTTTCCATGTAATTTCAGTGAAGTTATTCAAGAGAAAGTGTGTCAAGTTTAGTTTTAACATACTTGTCAACCAAACTGCAGATGCCTATTTGCATATTTATATTAATGTAAAGGCAAGTCACTAGTTTATAAAAGGTTATGCAGGAAGAAGATAAAAATGCAGTTCAGATTTACAACTAACCAATTATGCTGGAGAAAAATGAATGCAGACATACGGTATGAGTTTTGCCCATAGTACCATTGCGAGTTTAAGACACCTGTACAAGACATATTATCTGCATTGAAACTCCTAGCAGATTATTTTGACTAAAAAAGGTCTTTATTTATTTATGGTAATTTATTCTGCTTACTCCACAAAGTGGCTCACTTAGTAATTTCCTTATTTCTGCTGGTCATGCAGCAAAAATGTGCCTGGCCTGAAAACTGAACTAAATATGCTGCTGTTGTCTTTGGGTGAAATGATTGAATGCAACCACAAAAGATCAACATATTTTTATTATGCCATAGAGCTAGCTTTCCTCAACTTGAAGCCCTCCAGATGCTTTAGGACTACAACTCCCAGAGTTTCCAGACAGCATTGCCTGACACAGAAAGAGGCAGAAGTCAGAAGATCCTTTAAGCAGGACAAAGTTGCCGGCTGTTAGATGTTTGCCTTGATCCAGGCAAAACTTAAGCACAGTACACAACACTTTTTAGCTACCATCTGTTGAACTACGTGACCTCATAGAGACTTTCAGTCTGTGGCTGGTAACTCTTCTTTGTCTGGAAGAGACATGGCCGTTTTAGTGAGCAGTTAGAATCTCCATTTTCTGTTTCATTTTTAATTTTTGACGTCATAATTCAACAATGTTTGACATGTTTACCTTTGTCTCTTGTTATAATGCAAACATAGCTACATATGTCTTAAGGTGAGATTTCGGGGGCCCATTCCCAGATTATTTTAAAAATTGGCCCAAAGAATATACAAGGATCTTTACAGATTTTTACTGGAGATCTTCCCTCTTAGACTATATGGCCAAATTCAATATGGCGGAAATAAATCTCCCTCCATTTTTCTTTTACTGTCTTGCTCTCTTTACATTCTCTACAAAACCATGGAATTTTCTGTGCTTTCTCTTCCTTTTCGTCTTCTACATTTACTATCCTCTTATTTTGCTTTCTCTGTCTCTTAGATTCAAGGAGCCTGCTGGGAAGAATTTTGGAGGTGGGCCACTACACAATATTCACCCTGTGTGGGCAACACCAAACAAACAGTCTGCAAATAAAGTCCGCGCTCTCCCCCACGCGCATGCACAGAGGCACATCTTTTCTCCATTACCTTTGCTAATACCATCTTTCTTCCATCTTGAGCTCAGTGTGTTGTTGTTTTTTTTGTCTCTTTCAACTCCCCTCCCTTTCCCCCTACCCCTCAATTTATTCCAGCTGTGAAAACCTTTTGCCATCTCCTCTGTCACACGGGCAGAGAGGTGAGTGGCAGGGAGAAAAGCTGCTGCAAGCCATGGTGGATAATCTATTCCACATGTGTGCCCTGGCAAGAGCCCCACCACCAGCGCTTGACTGGACGGAACGGCTCTTGATGAAAGCAGCTTGCGTGGCCATGGATCTGTTTGGCTCTCGTGCTCTGCTTTGCACATAAATACGCATGGGAGCATTGGCAACAACAGCACTTTGGGGGTTTAATTATAGCATTTATTGGTTTTGTAGATGAAATCTGAACATTTGGGGAGAAGGAAGGGCACTCTGGGAGCGAGGCAGGAAAAGCGGATGAAATGAAAATCACAGAAATACATTTTGAAATGTGCAGATTCAGGGAATTGCAACTCTGGCTATAGATATGCACTCATGTCTGCATGTACACATAGACACATTAACATGGAGCAAACTTTTATTAAGACCACTGAATTAGGTAACTGCTTATGGGGCAGACTTTTACTCTTGAACCTACCCCCATTTAACATTAAGGCTGCATATGACAAATGGGCTAGGTCATTGTCCCCAAATCACCTGCTGCTTCCTAAGCAATGGACAATATTATTCTCTTCACTGGCAATCAACCTGATTTATGTATATGGACGAGGAACTTCATGTGAGACAGGACCACAGTTCGATCATGAAAGGCTTGTGTGTGCCCCAGGAACGTCATAAACTAACTATCAAATAATATACCAGTACAATGTGACTGAAATGGAAAATCAGTAACTCCAGGACTAGAGTCTAAACTCTACTTGGCTTTAGTTAAGTGCAAAGAAAAATCAAAGGGAAGGGCTGTTTTTGTCTTTGCCCCACCCTCTACTTTCTAGAGTATGGGTCTCCTCATGCCCCTCAAAAGCTAGTGCAGCACTGAGATAGAAAGGGCCATGTGCACTGAAAGATGGAATAGAGGGAGGAAGTGCCATCTTGTCCTTTGTCTCAGCAACACAGTTCTTGTCCCAGCCCTGGGACAAAGAATACGATACTTCCCAAGGCTACTCCAATAGGACCTTGTTCTTTCCATGTACTATTCAGAAATACTTCCAGCACAAATTATCTTGTGCACAGCAGCTATATTGGGAAACAGAAGAGCTGGTACCATTATTTTAGGCTTAGCCAACAGGTTAGTGAGAGGGGTACATGCCACAGCAAGGCCAGAGTGAAAATTTCCTTGTTTTACTCAGGCTTTGTTCTTACTAATGTTTTGTGTTTGTGTAACCTTGAGCAACATTGTTCACATTGTGCAACAGGAAAAGCACAAGGGGGGTGCATGTATGCTTTACTTATTTATTTGTGAGACTTTGAGTAGATTCCGTTTGGAATCCGTCTTCCCTATTTTTGAAACGTCAGCAATTCAGTGTATGTGTCAACGTTCAGACTGGCAATTTAGGCAAGTTCAGAAGCATAATGGGACACACACACACATGGTCAGATCTGAATATGGGAGGAAGAGGAGGGTTGCAAATAAAAGAGGATTGACAATAAAAGGGGAAGAGTATTTGTGGAAGGAGAATATATGGAGAATATATGTAAATCAGTGTTGATATTCTGGGTATTTTCTAAAACTTCACAGGGAGAGACCTTGAGTTGCCTCCTCCCCAAAGAAAAGCTTAATCTCTTTGAATTTACCACAGATGTGTGATGGGTTCACATGATTGATGGCATCTGTTTTCTGCTTTATTAAACTTGTTCAGCATGGGATTTGCAAGTGGATTAATAAGCATTAGACAGGAATCTCTGGCAGGCCAGTGTTTTTAGAGAATAACTAAACCAATGGTCCAAAGTGTCCTACACAATGAGATATGGCCCAGTAAATTGCTCTCCTCCCTTGTAATGCTGAATACCACTCTTAATGGATAATGCATGAAATGGAAATCCATAGTAAATTTTTATTTAAAACAAGGTCCTTGATCTACAAAGCCCAGATGTTTCTCAGTTGTCCTAAACTGGTACTTCCAGAGGTAGTGAGACTGTAATTTGGGATGTGGGGGAAGAATTGCCTGATTTAAGTGATACATTATTTGACTAATGGATTCTAAATAAATATTAAAAGTTATGAAACACATGCGTATAACCTGAAGAAATTGAAGAATTTTTAAAAATGTACCCCCCCCGTAAATATATTACAGAATTTTAGGGGGAAACTCCACACATGCAATTCATGACACCATTAAGCCCCAAAACATCTGTGTCTCTTTTCCGATGTGAACTCAGACAAGGAGCCAGCAACTGGATAAGATTTCCTGACAAAGCAGACACACATGTGTTCTTCACATATGCTGGAATACACCGTTTTTACAAGCTTTTTCTTACACTCAATTAACATTTGAGCAAGGCAGCTGTCGCATGAGCTTTGTGGCCGATGTGGATGCCACATGAGACTAAAGGAACATTTGCCTGCTTGGTGATATGGAGAAACTTGGCTTAAAGAAACTATGATTTACTATAGATAACAATTAGTTTCAGAGAAGCCCGAGAGACAGAAGGAGAAGGTAAGAAATGCCAGGCAAGTTGGGAATGAGAAGGAAACACTGCTCCCCAAGAAAGAGCAGTCTATGGAGAAAGTCACCGCTGTTATTTCCCTTCCCTTCCCTTCCCTTCCTTCCCCACTCCCAAAAGATCAGCTGATCTGTCTGGGTTTGTTTGTGGTGGGGTTTTTTTTCTTTCTATTCTGTTAACTATACATTTAAATCAAAAGTGTGGGATATAAATTGTGCATTTAGATAAACAAAATGGTATGAGCCTTTTTGGGGGCGAGAGAACATTTCTTACCATGAATTATGTCATAAGCAACAAGAGGCAATAATACCCTGGGGCCAATCTAATGCAGCCAATTATGCATCATGACATAAAGAAATGCATCATCCCCAAAGAGATCAAGAAGTATTCATCTGCATACAATTTGCATTTGTGGATTTACATGTTTAGGCTGCAATTTTAAAAATAATCACTGTGAGTTAAAGAGAAATACGGTATATCTCAGTGCAATAGAAACTGTAATGATCTTTGTATCTTCTGATTCTATTGTCCACATGTTCATCACATAGAGGAAGCCTGAAGGCTCCTGAAGACCATTCTTACAATGAGGTTTTTTTTAATAAAGACTTTTTAACACATCCCATCCTAAATGTCTCAAGTGGATTGTCTTCTGCAAAATACAGAATTGAACCATCCATATATCAGTCTCTTTGGACTGGAAGGTGAAGTGAGGAACATTTCCCTTTCTCCCTTGTTGCTATTTTATGTTTCTTTGTAGTGCATCTGGAACCATGATTTGTGAAATCCCATAAAAAACAGAAAGGGAAAGGGAACTCTGCATCAAGGTTGCAAGGTGCCTTTTTACTCTTTACTCTATTTAATTCAATATTGCCCATTTAATTCAATTTGATGATATGATGCAAATAATGTATGTACATGCATCAGAGATCATTATGACAGTACGTAACACATATGTGATGAAATAATGGCACATATATTTGCCAGTTTGACATCATTGTTACTTATTATAGATGCTTTTGCACTGCTAGATAGACTTCTGAAGTTTCAGACAATAGATTTCCCCATTCTCACAGTATGTATTACTTCCTTTTCACTCACTGCTTTCTTGGACAGTAGCATTGATAATATTAGGTTCAATTTAACCCTTCAGTATATCACTATCATTTGCATACAAATCTCTAAAAGGATTTGTCCAGTATTCCTTCACGTCAGTTTCATCCCAAATCATTGCTGTCATTGTAATGGAGGTTGCTTATTTAACCCTCTTTACCAAAGCAATTTTTTCTTTCCATCAAAGCTACATTGCATTTTCTCTGCCTTTCTTTATCTATCCACAACATGCCATCAACTTGGTATCCCTTTACCAGTTTTAAAAACTTTCATCAAATCAATTCTGAAAAAAGGGACTTTATGGCCATTTTTCACACTTACAATCATGTGACCATCCCCATGGTCACATGATCAAAATTTGGAACGCTTGACAACTGGTTCATATTTATGACAGTTGCAGTGTCCCGGGGTCACATGATCCCTTTTGTGACCTTCTGACAATGGGGAAATCAGATTCACTTAACAACCGGGTTACTAACTTATCAATGGCAGGGATTCACTTAACAACTATGGCAAGAAAGGTTGTAAAATGAGGCAAAATTCACTTAACAAAAGTCTCACTTAGCAACAGAAATTTTGGGCTCAAATGTGGTCGTAAGTCGAGGACAACCTGTACACACTCAGGATGCTAAAGATAACAAGGATTTAAACAGGGGCTTTTTGTATTCTACACTTAATACTTAATATTCATTGCTATTGTAGCCTTTGATTAGTTTCCTACAGGGTTTCACAAACATGATCCCTTTTAATGACAAGTACAACTAATGGCAACAAAACAAGAGAGGGAAATTATGGTATTTTGGAGAATGCTGAGTTTTTCAGAAATGCAAAAAAATACAAGAAAACCCCAGTGGGACAAAAAAAACAAAAACAAAACCCTGATCAAATAAGCTGAAGGCTGAGCATCTTAATAATCAGAGTTGAATATTGGACGAGTATAAAATGGAAAATAAAATTGCAAAAATGGGATTGCAATTTTAGTATCAGTATTTTTATTTGGCATGCACACATATCGAATGGAGATTCTGCAATAGCTATGAATGACTGGATGAAACAATGAACACTGTTATTTATTTAAACCTATACTGCCCATTCCTATATTGCCCATTCCTTTTTCATAGTTCTAAGCAGGTTACAAACATTTCTGTGTAATAAAAACCAAAGATGCCATTACAATCCATTTTAAGAAGCTCTTTAGAAAAAGTCTCTGATAGGCTTGAAGTTCTACAATCTTTTCTGAACTGCAACAAGAAAGGGCCCAGTTTACACA